GGTTGTGCCGCGAGAGGAGGCGCCGCTGCAGCAGCGCTGCCCGTTGATCCTGCCCGCAGCGCCGAGGAGAAACCGCGGCCGCGATCGTTCAAAATCCCGCGCAGGAAGGAGGCGCCTCCGGGCGCTGGTGGTTGTGCATTGCTGGGAAGTTCCCTTCGTTCCGTAGTTAACGGGGCAGACAGAGCTGAACGTGCTTTCCCACGTGGAAGCATTCCATTTCACGCGTGGCTGTGCTTTTAGCGTGGTGCTCTCTAAGCAAAGCTTGAAATTATGTTACTTAATTTGGGGGTTTGTTTGTTTTAACTAAGGCCAAAATTTATTGTAGTACAAATTATGTTGTGCCTTTAACTTGTGCTCTTTAGGACACAGGCGATACAAGCTGTATGGCTGTCCCTGAGTCCTTAGGTGTACAGGTCGGCTTTCAGGTCCATGTCTGTTTTGTCAAGTTACAGCAGCATGACACATCCCAAGTGCATTTCAGAGCGTAGTTATCAGGGATGTGTTTGCATTTAAATGTTATTTGCTGTGGAATTCCTGAGTAGGTTACTTACTGGGGCTTGTTCACACTCACTGAACAGTCAATTCGTCCCTTCTGGCATCTTGCCACAATTTGGTTTCTGGAGTTGCACTGTGTATTTTAAATGCTTCTAATTAGTCTGTTCTCCTTATTTGATATCTAGGGATCTGCTCATGTGAGGGAATAGAGGGACTTTTCTGATTGTACTCAAACTATCTTTGAGGATGAATTAACATTTTTAGCTTTCAGAGCAATTTCATTGATTTGTTGTAACCAGCTAATTTTCCTAAAGCATGTCAGAGCTTCTGAGGTCTTACAGCTCTTCTGTGTCCCTGCAGGAGGATGCTCGTGATCTGGATGCCTACACATTAGCCAAGTCTTACTTTGATCTAAAGGAATATGACAGGGCTGCCTATTTTCTACGGGGATGCAAGAGTCAGAAAGCTTATTTCTTGTATATGTACTCGAGATACCTGGTAAGATAGAAGGGAAAATCACCTTTTAGCGCCAAATTCCTCTGCTGCCCACCCTTCACTGGCATACCTTATTTTTTTTTTGCCTTTTCTGTTCTGAATGAGCACCCAGAATTCCCAGTTACATACCTGGGGGATGTGGGATAGGACCATTCTTCTTAGAATGGTGATGTTTGTGAAAGCTCAGTTGACATGCTGCTGCTGGCATTGCAGCAGGCATGAGAAATATACAGTTATGATGTAATTTTGAGTTTCCTCTCTTTTCCACAGTCAGGGGAAAAGAAGAAGGATGATGAGACAGTGGATAGTTTGGGTAAGTCTCTTGTTTTGAGAAACACAAGACAATGTATTGAGGCTTCAAGTAATGCCTTTTCGTGTATATCACCTTGGCTTTATGGCTTTCCCCTCTCAGTTTTTGGATACTAATGTGCTGTAACATGATTTCTTTCATTCTTTCTCAATTCATTGGTTTAATACAGGTTACAGATTTTCATCTGTTAGATTTTCATCTGTTAGTTCTTCTGTTAAAGCAAGTGATCAAACTAAGTGATTTTCTTCTAAAAAGAGGAGGCCTTCAGGTCATGTCATTGATTCTGAATATAGCCTTGACTTTGTGACTGCTGTGGTAAGAGTCTGAATTAAAAGCTAGCTGTTTGACTTCCTCTTCCTGCAGGGCCTCTGGAAAAGGGACAGGTGAAAAATGAAGCTCTGCGAGAATTGAGAGTTGAGCTCAGCAAGAAACACAAAGCACGGGAACTGGATGGATTTGGCCTTTATCTGTAAGTGCATGTATTTCTAATGTATTTAAATGAATTTAAACTGAAAGAGGGTGGATTTAGATTAGATATTGGGAAGAAGCTCTTCCCTGTGAGGGTGCTGAGGTGCTGGCACAGGGTACTCAGACAAGCTGTGGCTGCCCCATCCCTGGCAGTGTTCAAGGCCAGGTTGGACACAGGGGCTTGGAGCAACCTGCTCGAGTGGAAGGTGTCCTTGCCCATGGCAGGGGTTGGAGCTGGAGGAGCTTTAAGGCTGTTTCCAACCCAAGCCCGTCTGTGATTCTGTTCGTGTATATTTGTGTGGATATGCAGTGTTGTGATTCTGATGAACTCAATAACTTTATTTACAGGTATGGTGTTGTGCTGCGGAAGCTGGACCTGGTGAAAGAAGCCATAGATGTATTCGTTGAAGCTACCCATGTCTTACCTTTGCACTGGGGAGCCTGGCTGGAACTTTGCAACTTGATTACAGATAAAGAGATGGTAAAACTTGGGAGATATCAAGATTTGGTAACAAACTCCAGAGTTTAACGCAATTCAATAATCAGTGATGCAGTTGCAACAAGATTGATGTCAGCCACTGCTTTATTCTGTTAGACTATCAGGCAAGGCAATCCAAGATTGTAAATGATATTAAAGTCTCTTTTTCTTCAACTGCTCGTCATGCTGTAGCTTGAGAATCTTTATGCAGGCAGGGCTAATTTCCTGTCATTCGCCCACAAAGTGGTTTGAGAAGTGGCAGGTTCTCATATTCTGAAGCAGTTGTCAACAGGGTTATTGCCCTGCCACATGAAGCACATGGAGGAGATCCTCCTAAAATACTTTCTAAGATTTTCAGTTTTTTTGGTTTTTTTTTTTTTTCCTTCCCTGGATCTGGTTCTAGTTCCACAGTTACTGAGTACTTTGGTGCCCTGAAAGTGTATATAGAATCCCTGCTTTTAAAACTAATATAGTAATGTAGGTGTTCCCTTTGTGAAATACAAAGTAACACGTAGGAGATGAACTGTATAAAAGAACTGAACTTGGATATAGAACCAAAATAGATTACTTTTCTTTGCACATGGGACTTTTTGAGACCACTCCTGGAGTTCTTCAGTCAGTTCTGGCTGGTGGAATAATTTAACAAAGTAGAGGTGGCACAGAAGAGATTGATGGTAAAAAGGAAATGCATTTTTGATGAGGTTATTTGGAGTCTGTTCACTTGGGTTATCAAAACCAGTGATATCATATTGATGTTCAAGCATGGAAAGAAAGTAGAGTCTTTTGAAGGACTTTGAATATAATGGAAAAACAAGGATAGTGGCTGAAGCAGAAGCCAGGTGCTGTCAGATTTGAAAATAACTTATTCACTGATTAACCAAATGAAATGGCTTCAATTCTTCTGCAGTTTCAGCAGTCATGGGGATAGATGTAGAGTGACTAAATAAGATTTTGTGATCCATGTTGTACTGGTTTTTAGACTGAATGTCTTAATGCTCCTTTCCTGTTTCAATATTGTCAACTTACAGGCATTCTTTAGTCTTTCCTGTGGAAGAACCTGATATTAATTCTTGGTCCTAATACTGATTTTTTGTAGCTGGTGTTATGGTTTAAGAAAGCGGTTGCAGGAAAGCCTCCTACCTCAAGACCATCTGCTAAATTATGGGAGGGAAGATAATGGATTCTTTGCCTCAGGTGGTTCTTGGAATACTGCTGATTGTCATCTCTTCCTCCTCTTCTTTGGTTCTCGCTAGTTGAAGTTCCTGTCCTTGCCAGATACATGGATGAAAGAGTTCTTTCTTGCACACATTTATACAGAGCTGCAGCTGATAGAGGAGGCTCTGCAGAAGTACCAGAGTCTCATTGATGCAGGATTTTCCAAAAGCACTTACATCATCTCTCAGATTGCAGTTGCCTATCACAATATCCGAGGTCAGTGATGCTTACTAACTAGTAGGAATAAGCCTCCTAATGCCAGCTTGACATTTATAGTTCTTGTTCTCCTGTCTACTGTTCTTCAGATATTGACAAAGCTTTATCCATCTTTAACGAGCTAAGGAAACAAGATCCTTACAGGATAGAAAACATGGACACTTTCTCCAACTTGCTATATGTAAGGGTAAGCATTCTTTCTATTGCCTGTCCATAATGATGGTGTGTTCAGAGGTATTTTAAACACTGGCAAAGCAGCTGTTGCTGTCTAGCTTCTCAATGTAGGCTTTTGACTTCTGCTTTCTGCTTCACAGCTCCATGGACAGATACAGTGTGTGCACTGCTAACTGCCTAGCTTGTCTTTGAAACGGTAACATGCTCCTTTTCTCATTGCTTTTGTCTCTTTGTTTCACTAGAGCATGAAGCCTGAGTTGAGCTATCTGGCTCACAATCTCTGTGAGATAGACAAGTATCGCGTTGAGACCTGCTGCGTGATTGGTGAGAGCCAGCTGTTTCACATGTCCTGATTATGCTGTGTGCAAGCTGTGTGAGGAAATCGTGTGAAAATTGGTCAACCAGCAAGAGCAAGGCTATCAAAACCACTTTGTGAATGTGGACCAAATGAGAGAGCACCCTTTTCCTTCATTCTGCTCTGAAAGAGCTGCTATAATACTCTCGGAAAGGAACTGAAGAAATCATTATGAAGACCAGTGTAGCTGATAATCCCTTTACAGTTTTGGAACTCCATGGAAATAATTGTATGCCAGAATGAGGAAAATAATTTGTTAGATGATGACATAAGTTTTAAGGCCAAGGGGATGGGATCTTAAATTGATTGATACAACTGGAAAGGGATTGAGCAGAACACTGGAGAACAGACTGCTATTGGGTCTCTTGAGGTTTTAGTCAGATCTGCCTTTAATGGGTCTCTTTATAATTTAAGCTGGGAGGTGCTAGATCATACCTCTTCTGTCTCTTCTCTACTTCTCTGCTGGGTTTTTTGTTTGTGTGTTTGGGGTTTTTTGTTTGTTTGGTTTTGGTTTTAAAATGTATTTAAATATTCTTACTTTTCTTTAGGGAATTACTATAGTTTGCGTTCCCAGCATGAAAAAGCAGCCCTCTATTTCCAGAGGGCCCTGAAACTGAATCCTCGTTATCTGGGAGCATGGACACTTATGGGACATGAGTATATGGAAATGAAGAACACATCTGCAGCTATCCAGGCTTATAGGTATTGCTCATGTACTGCACAAAATGGTGTCTGCATCTGCATATGTAAGGATTGAAGTAGTGTCTGGTTTTTGTTAGTCTGTTGCTGAACTGTGTCTTGGTTTTTATTCTGATTAGTTCATCTCCTTTGACAGACATGCAATAGAGGTGAACAAAAGGGACTACAGAGCATGGTATGGCTTGGGGCAAACCTATGAAATCCTGAAAATGCCATTTTACTGTCTTTATTACTACCGACGGGCCCACCAGCTCAGGTAGGGTTCAGAACAGAGCCATGTTGCTAATAGCTGAGAAATTTACATACAGGAACTAAGTTGGGGAAGGAAGAGTAACATCAATACTGTGTGGTTTGTGCAGTCTCACTATTCCAAACCCTTTTAGTTGCATTAGTTAATTGTTAACAAAGGCTTTGTAAGTTAAATGCTAAGGAAGGCTCGTCAGGAGTGTAAGCGATGTTTTATAAGAGAGGGGATGATAGGCACTGCTAGTAGTAGATTTCCCCCCCTACCCCATCCTGAGGTCAGCTGGTTGTCCCTTAAGCTACATTTAGGAATTGCTCTTTTGCAGACCAAATGATTCTCGTATGCTGGTTGCTCTAGGAGAGTGCTATGAGAAACTCAATCAGTTGGTGGAAGCTAAAAAGGTGAGTGAGAACTGATACATGGGGGAGGATGTTAGGATGTCTCCCAGGACACCAGGAGGAATCGCAGCACAATTGTGTAGCTGGTGCCACTCAAATGCTCCGGTCATGTTGCTAGGAGCTTATTGGGACAGTTTCCATGTTGGTTAGGATGGGGGAGGTTCTGCAACAATGTAACTAGAGCTGCTGGTAAATAAAAAGGGTCCTCTACAGATGGTATGTGCCCCTTTGCTGGACAGCTATGTAGTTTTCTGTTTCTAACTTGCATGAGTCGTGAGCTGGAGTCACTTTCGTGGTGTGCTTGACTGACTTCCCTTCCTTGCCAGTGCTACTGGAGAGCTTATGCTGTGGGAGATGTGGAGAAAATGGCACTGGTGAAACTAGCGAAGTGAGTATGTTTTGTCACTGAACTGTCAATACTGTGTTAAATGCAACTAGCACTTTGATACCTAATGATACAATACTAAATGTAACACAAGAGGAGCTGCTGTTAGGTGGTATTAGGAGTTCTGTAATAACTGGTATTGATAGGTCTGTAGTGACTGCAAATTCTGTGTCCAGTTTTAGCTTCAAGTTTCCCTTAGGATAACTAGAGGGAATCGTAAATATGGGTTGCAAGGGACCCCTGAATCCTGAAGTGTTTTGATCAGGCAATTGTATTTGTTGTATTGAAACTTAAAGCAATCTATGATAGTAGATGATGTGCAAAATTGTAGATTGATTTATGTTTTTATTATTTCTCTTCCCCTCCCATTATGTGATTGTGACCCTGGGAAAGGGTTTAACGTGAAACAAATATGAACATTGTAACATCACCACTAATATTTTTGGGGAGATAAAGTAATATAAAGTGGAAAGAATGAAGGGGAAGGAAAAGGGCAAGTGGAAGGTGAACCTGTTGTACAAAGAATTCCGGGATATAGTGGGAGAAGGAGCACTGAAGGAAATGTGACAGACTAAGCAAAGGTCCCTGCTTTGGTTGTCACTGCTTCTGGCAGTTAGTATCTGGCTGCTTCCTGGTCATGTAAGTGTTCTCAGGCTGGATCATCTACTTCCATGAGGGGCAGTACCTGGTGCATGTCTTGAGGATTCTAAAGGAAAAGACCTGGCTTTAGACTGGGTCAGGGCGAGTAGGTACTTTCTCATAGACCAAGAAGGTCTTCAACAGTGCTGTCTTGTTCCAGTGGCGTTTTCTCCCTTTTCTAGGCTGCATGAACAGCTGAATGAATCTGAACAGGCAGCTCAGTGCTATATCAAATACATCCAGGATATCTATTCCTGTGGGGTAAGATGGTATCTTGGGAATAAAAGAAGTAAACATGGTGTAGAACTAGCCTGGAAGGCACTCACAGATGAAGGGTTTTACCCCCTCACTGCAGGAGATAGTGGAACACCTGGAGGTCAGCACTGCCTTCCGTTACCTGGCCCAGTACTACTTCAAGTGTAAGCTCTGGGATGAAGCCTCCGCTTGTGCTCAGAAGTGCTGCGCATTCAATGATGTGAGTAGTTGCTCAATCTTAATCATAGAATCACAGAATGGTTTGGGTTGGAAAGGACCTTAAAATCATGCAGTTCCAACCCCTTGCCATGGGCAGGGACACCTCACACTAGACCACCTCACCCAAGGCTCTGTCCATCTTTGGTGTTTCTTTCTTAGGGGAACTATGACCTTGATCTTTGCTCCCCCCAGAGCAGAAGGGATCCTTTATTGAAGGAATGAGGGTTGTCTGCCATGCAGCTCAAATCCTAAGTGGTGGTGCTGTATACTTGATCACTAATGCTGCTTATGATTGACCAAATTCATGGAATGTGGTGTAGATAGTACAATTGAACCATGCTTCATTGGTGTTCAGTAAGTAAAAGAATTTAAGGCTCCATATGGCAGTCTTAAGACTGCTGAAAATCTTGGTGGTGAGGTGGTTACATGCTCGCAGATTCCACATGATATGTCGTGGTGGTACTCACATAAGTTCTTTCCCCCCCCCCCTCATTTTCTGCATGTAGACAGTGCAGAGTTTATACTTGGGTTTGTATGTGACTGATTCTGAGATGTTCTGTAAGTGTGCACTTAACAGACACTGGCCATGAGTGCAGAGTGTATGGCCTCTCCTTAACAAAGCTGTCTGGAACTCTAGAGAAGCTGAGTTCAGCTGATTTGAAGCTTCTCCAATCCACTTTTTGCTAGAGTATTTAGGCAGCTTCAGTAGTTGATGCTGCCACTGTCTGAAATACCCAAGTGTAATGCAAATCAGGTGGGTAAAGGGAGGAAAGAAGTTAAATTCCTTAATGTTTTTAAATAGTAGAAGAAATGAGGATGTTTTATAGGTTGCAGCCTTACAGAATGACAAACTACTGTAACTTACACTGGTTACATACTGAATTTGACCCAGAAACTACCCATCCCTAGGTGTTTTGTTTTTTACAAATTCTTTTCAGACTAGAGAAGAAGGGAAGGCCCTGCTGCGGCAGATCTTACAGCTCCGCAACCAAGGAGAAACGTCATCCACAGATATTGCTGCTCCCTTTTTCCTCCCGGCATCCTTGTCGGCAAACAACACTCCCACACGTCGTGTCTCTCCACTCAATCTGTCTTCTGTAACACCATGAACAATGCTGATACTTCTAGCCTGTCTGTTCAGTGGGACCTTACAGATTTCCTTCCAGTGAAACTTGGACAGTCATTGTTGCCTTCATGTGAAGGTGAGGAGTTGCTAGAGCTCACAGCTGAAGACGGATGTGCCCCACCAGGCCAGGGTGCAGCCTATGTGAAAGTGCCTATGCTGAGACATGAGAACTGCTGTGCTTCTCACCAAGTCATTCCAGTCAGAGGGCAGAATGTTCCAATATGCAGGACCACTCGTAACTGAGGGACCGGGAAAAGCTTGTCTGCTTGAGTTAAAATGTATTTGAAGTTCGATTCTGCCCTGTTACTTCTAGTCTTTGCTGAACTTCTTTGGATGACTTCTTGGTGGTATCATTGCCATCTATGTTGGAAACCCTTACCTGCCTACTTAATGACTTTCAGTTGTCATCAGCTACACAGATGTTCCACTGAAGCAGTAGATACAGGCACTTAGATATAGTGCCATGTCTATGTGTTAGTACTGACAGGTGTCAGAGGAATTCCAAGTAGCTGTAGGTGACAGCTGTTTGTCTTTCTGTCTGTGGATCTGACAGATACTTTGGCTTTCAATAGAAAAGCAGCCACTGGGATAGCACAATTAAAAACTAATGGTTAAGTTACTGTCCTTGGGCTTTCATGTGTACTGTATCAAATGAAATTGAATGAACTGTAAGGGACCCTTTTGTTCAGGATTGCTATGACTTGTGGACAGGGTGGTGCAGGGGATTCCTCCTCTCCAGGGCTGCTGCTTGTCCCTGCTCACGTAGCGAGCCAAGAGTCTGGCTACATGTGAATTTAAGCTGTCCACTACAGAAATGGCCATAAATTAGCAGATAAACAAGAGGACAGTGCACTTAGATGCATTTGCTTAAAACAGAAACCACAGAAGTGGTCTGATCATGTTCCCCCTTGCTTAAAGTCTGCTAGTGGAACATACATGCTTACAGTGACTTAAGTACATGCTCACATTCTTTGGTCTCTCCAGTCTCTGCCCTTCACCGTATCCATGTCTAGACCTTGGGTGTCTTGTGCATTCAGTCCTGGACCTAGGGTGTGTGTAGATTTGGGGTTTCTCTTGTGTGCTGGCTATTGGAACAATCATGTGTACACAAATAGAGTAAGGAGCACAATGACACAGAAAACAAGCAGCAGTAATGCTTTATCAATAAAAGCGTGGCTGGTGGCATCAGCCACACAAGGGTTACTGAGCAGCAGCCTGTGGACATGCAGCTGGTAAGCTCCTCTGTCTGCTCCTTCCCATCAACACCCTCACTCCCTGCCTCCCCACACTTTTCCCATGCTCATGCCTCCCCGACCCATCTTCACCCCTCTCCGGGGGTCTGTGTTCATTCCCCTGGCGTCTGATGATGTATCTTGCAGGTCCTGCAAGGTGGTCCTGCAGTCGCCTTCCAACACCGTGAAGTAAATTTGCTCTTGCTTTGCAAGACCTTTCCTGATAACCCACCATGGTCCTGTACTTCATGGAGGCAGTGAAGGCCAGAGGTTAATAACACTGCTGGCTTTGACTTGAATTGTCTTGCTCACTGACACTTGGTGCTCCTCAGACGAGGACAGTGTTATGTTTGGGCTTCATCTGTCTGGGAGCAATGGGGCTTCTTAACAGTTTGGGATATCAGTTTAACCTGTGACTTCAGAGGAGTTCAGACAAATGTGTCGTTGCTGTTCAGTTACAACTTCTAAGCTTGATACAACCTGGAGGTCTTTTATTTAAAGATACCTGAGGCTTGTATACATTTTGGTTTATGAATAGCCAACTATGAATATATTGATATGCTATTAATAATCTTCAGTTATGGATAATCTGCAGGTGTTCATGCTAAACAAGCTCCAGTTCCCTCAGAGCTATCCAGTAGTGGAATCTTCCGCCGAGTTTTGTAATTGTCTGAAGATTTCCATAGGAAGAAGTAGTCCACGTCTCAATGGGATGTTTTGAAATGAAGATTGTCCAAACCGTGGTGCTTATAAAGGTCCTGTGTTAAATACAGATGTCAATGTGGGAGGCTGCCATTAGGGATTAACTGCATTCACCATCTCTGAACAGTGGAATGGTGCTGATCTGGCACAATGCACTTTGCCTGCTGGATTTCAAAGGTGGGACCACTGGTGAAACCTGGTTTCCTCTGATGTGGAGGATACTTGCCCCAGATACGCCTACTTTAAATACTCACTTGTAAAAGATGCAGTAGGGTTGTCTAAGTTGTGTTACGAGGACCATGAGGACATCATTTTGTGTCCCTTACCTCTAGCCTAGATAATGGCATTTGATGCGAAGTTCAGAGATGTGTGTGAAGGATGTGTGCTGATGGGCATCTCTGTGCATCTCTGCTATATTATGCCAACTCTGGAAGTGTGACAGACTCTGCTGGTAATGACATCCATTACACAAGGTGGGAGTGATTTTTTTAAGAATAAGGAGCGAACTACATGAAAGTGGAGGTTACTTACTGTCCTAAAACTGAAGATGTAATGGGACCTCATTTATTTTAATATTGCCTGTTAATACATTTAAAATTACAAGCCAGACTATTAGCTTTCTAGTATCCTATCATACATGTGTCACATCTTGTTACAAACATCAGTGACCTATAAAGATCAGTAATGACAATTGATGATCAATTCTTATGTCACACAAACAGCAAGTTATTATAATATAAATTAAACAATTCATGCAGCAAATAAATCTACTACTTTTGTCTTTCCCTTCTGCTAAAACAAAAAAGCTTTCTATTTAGGATAAATAATCATTACATTATATTTAGGATAAATAATCATTAGATTCTATGAAAGCATTGCAATATCTCAGGCATTGAAGAAAAACTTTCAAATTCTTTATGTTTTCTAGCAATAATCAGTCTTACAGAGAACTATTAACATTGGCTTCTTCACGTTCTGTCAGAGTTTGTGGGGAAAAAAAAATCATTAAAATGTTCTATTTTGTTATTATATTGACGTATATCTTTACAAGAGATGCTGGTTTTTACATCAGTCACATTTACCACTTAAAATTGTGCATCATGATATTAAATTTTGGAAACAAATTGTTTTCTAGACAGGTACATGTCCTCCAGTACTGACTTACGGAGCCTTCCTTCTATCCTGGTTCTGTCTGGTTTTATCCTGGTTCGGTCACAGTTCATTGCTGATCTCTCGTGGAGTCTTTCTGTATTTGTGCTTGAGAGGACATCACTGAGATCAACAATGCTGCTAATAGGTGCAGCTACTTCTCTTGAAGCTATCATCCTTTGGAGATCACCCTGTAAAACAAACCAAAAAGACTCATTTGGTTACATTGTTGGAACACTTTTCCAAAGCTTTAACTGCTGTTACTGCAACTTATTCCAAGACCAGTATAGTCTTTCTTTCAGTATTTCTACCTGGTAAGCTGCAGGACTTTCCAGAATTACAACCGACCCTTGCTATTTCCTGGGCTATTTACAAGGGGTTTCACTGACGTCTCGATGTGTTACATGATTTTCTACATTCCATTCTTTGCAGTTTAGGAGCTTGCCAAATCTTCCACTGTTCTGAAGCTGTGGTCTAGGTGGATTGCCATCTCTGACATTTATTAATGTATTTAGCCACTGATCCATTAATATTTTTTGCTGCCATTCAGCTGTCAGTCCACCATTGCTGAAGTGTTCTTGTTTCTCAGCCAGTGATTATTTACCATGTGAGGAGACAATCTGCAATGAAGGAACAGAACAGAGTGACCTTGGTATATGCAGGAGCTGGGGCAAGATCTTTCAGCTGTCAGAACTTCTGAATGTTTTGTTGACAACTTCTCTATTCTCTTCTTCGAGTTCTGTACTAACCAAAGCCTGTCTGCTATTTAGGCACTTTTTCCTACATATGGTTAGAAAAGGATTCTTGGTTGTAAGCAAGTATCCCTTTTCTGCTACTTCTGTCTTTCTGGTTTCCAGTGACATGAACATGAATTTGTCCATATTCTGATTTATCTTTGCTCCACACTTCACTTTGCAATCTGCTCGTCTGTGCTCTCCAAATGTTGTTTCAGTGGTGCTGAGATACTTGCAACAGAGATACATTGCTGGAAAAATCTGTTTCTCCCCTGTCCACTCAGGCTGCTGAGTTATACTAGTTTTCTTGAGGAAGTAAACTCTCTGTGCCTGCAATCCCAGAGCACTTGTGCCATGTTATATGTCTTAGTGTTCTTCAGAGTTGTTTTTTCCATTTTCAATGTATTTCAGGCCTTCATTTCTCTATGCAATCAGTAACCAAAACACGAAAAATAAAACATTTAGCCTAGGCGTATACAGATTACAGCAGTTCTTAAAACCCAGAACTTTGTTTTACTTGGGCATTGAAGCTTTTTTCAGTCGCTTGATGTGTTAACTGCCCAAGGTGTATTTCTCATTCTCATGGTTCAAGCCCAGCCGGCAACTTGGAACCACGCAGCTGCTCGCTCACTCCCGACCCTTTTCCTTCCTCCCCCCACTCCTGGAGGGATGGGGAGGAGAATTGGAGGAATATAACTCCCACGGGATGAAATAACAGCACTCCAGTCACTAAGGTATAATACAAACCACTACTGCTACCAATAATAATGATAAGAGGAATAACAAGGGGAGAGGACACAACTGCTCACCACCCGCCGACCGATACCCAGCCCGACCCGAGCAGTGATCTGGGCCTTCCGGGTGACTCCCCCCAGTTTCTATACTGGGCATGACGTGCTGTGGTATGGAATAGCCCTTTGGCCAGTTTGGGTCAGGTGTCCTGTCTCTGCTCCCTCCTGGCTTCCCCTCCTCTCTGGCAGAGCATGAGACTGAGAAAGTCCGTGGTCAGAGTAAACATTACTGAGCAACAACTAAAACCATCGGTGTTATCAGCGTTGTTCCCAGGCTGAAAGTCAAAACCACAGCACTGCACCCAACCAAACTGTATGTCTTGCACCACTCCGAGAAAAACGAAGTGCCTCCACTGTGGACGGGAGGAGGCTGAA